TGCCAGCGTAAAAAATAATGAATAAGGTGTTATGTTTATATTTGGTCTGGTAGTTGATTAAATATGCAATTTTTGATGATATTGTTATTTTGAAAGAATCAATTGCAAAATATCCGGTAACAGCAGCTAGTTTGCAATCAGAATGTAGAGTATACATAACATAAATATGGTAGCCTTCAAATTATGCTATATAGGGTCCGGCAATAGTGCGTCGGCCATCCGTATACAGGGTTGTTCACCACATACGACACGGAGTATTGTAGCTAAACGATGAGATTTTTACAAATTGTAAGTTTTGGGTTCGATGAAGGACTATTAGAGGTACAATTTAAAAATAATTTTACAAGATACAGAGTGTCCCAAATAAGTAAAAAATATCAAAGTTGTATTTTTTAAATGGAACACCCTGTATATTATTACATTTTTAGTTTCTACGATTAAAATAAAGGTAAATTTGATTAAGGTTTATTATACTTAAACCTTACCGTTTTTGAAATATTTTCAATTTTGTGAAATTGCAGTAAAAATTTTAAGGCTTCATTTCTCCAAGGGTATCAATGTTTTTAATACTAAATATTTAATGAAGTTTATTTATTGATCAATTATTGTGTTGCAATAATAAAAATAATACTACCTTATACAGAGTGTCTAAAAATTTATTTTAAATAATTATTAGCTTCAAACGGCAATAACTTGTTTAATTTAAATGGAACACCCTGTATATTTTACGAGAATCAGATGCACAATTTAATTGTCTATCAAATTATATTATACCATTTTTTACCTATCTCTTTAAGTTTCCGTAGAAAATGCATTTTTTTTGTAATTTAGAACTTATTTATCAATGTACCCATGGACTATTGACATTTTAGATTATTTTTAAAGATGTACCAAATTTTTAAAGAAAAAAAAAAGAAAAAAAAACTGTTTAAATATTTGTTAAACAGGACAAATTAATATGATTCCAGTATTCAAACTACATTAACTGACTGCGTTGATTAATAATAATTGCTCCAAATACTAAAAAACTGAATTTTGTATGGGCATTAGACAGTGTGATAAAAAGTAACACCTTAAAAATGATATTTAATTTTTTAATAAATGCTTATTTATAACAACAGAGACTTTAATTTGATAACTTATTATTATATTGATTTCTGACTCAAATCCACATTTATTTATAATAATTTATTAACGAACACAATTAAGTATGTAATTAATTAGTATATGGGCGGAAATAACGGTGTTATATTTAATTAATGGTATACTCTTTTTATAAAGATTTAAATAGTTTTCTTTTTTGCATTGTGGGCTAGTAATATTATCGTTTTGCTAAAAACGATAATATTACTAGTCTGTACATTTTATACATTTGTTGCTTTAAAAACAATCTAAAATGTCAATATTCCATGGATATATTGATAAATGAGGTCTAAATTATAAGAAAATGCATTTTCTACGAAAGTTGAAGGGATAGGTAAAAAATGGTATAATACAATTTGATAGACAATTTAATTGTGCATCTGATTCTCCTAAAATATACAGAGCATTCCATTTAAATTAAAGAAGTTATTGCCGTTTGAAGCTAATAATTATTTAAAATAAATTTTTAGACACTCTGTATAAGGTAGTATTATTTTTATTATTGCAACACAAAACTGATCAATAAATAAACTTCATTAAATATTTAGTATTAAAAACATTGATACCCTTGGAGAAATGAAGCTTTAAAATTTTTACTGCAATTTCACAAAATTGAAAATATTTCAAGAACGGTAAGGTTTAAGTATAATAAACCTTAATCAAATTTACCTTTATTTTAATCGTAGAAACTAAAAATGTAATAATATACAGGGTGTTCCATTTAAAAAAATACAACTTTGATATTCTTTATTTATTTGGGACACTCTGTATCTTGTAAAAATATTTTTAAATTGTAGCTCTAATAGTCCTTCAACGAATCCCAAACTTACAATTTGTAAAAATCTCATCGTTTAGCTACAATACTCCGTGTCGTATGTGGTGAACAACCCTGTATAGCTCCTAAAATAAAAAAAAAAACTTGGAAATTTTGTTTAAGTGCAGAACTAAAAGTATGTTCTAGGATGCATTTCAGGAAAATATTTTAACCTCTATAGGGTGGCTCGAAAAAGTGTGAGTGGATCGGGATGTTTTTTTTTAATGGAACACTCTGTATATTATTGCATTTTTGGCTTCCTTTCAGATCACCACTTTACACAATCCTATATAAGATAAGAGTAAATATTTCAGTATTTAAAAGTAAGATAATTATTTTTGTTTACACCTACTAATGCCAAAAAAATATATTCTTTTTGGTTTAGGTCTGAGTGTAAAAATAAAAAAAATAGAAGCCGTTTCGCCTGTTTCCGAAAAAGGAATTTTAATATTCATCAAGTTCAGCCGACCGCATTAAGTATGTTGTTATATGCGAAGACCAGCGAGCAGAGCCTTTTGTAACACAATAGAATACTAATGCTACTGGTTCGGTAGATAAAAAGCTGGAAAAGAGTATGCGAATATGAATATGTCCGCCTGTCAGTGAGCTGGATTGATCACCAGCCAGGGGCCGACCCTATGATATAAACTTAAACACACAGGCACAGGCAGTCATCTTTAATACTGGCTAGAACCAAACTAAACAATGATAAAAGAAATCGAGAGAAAAATATTCTGGGAGGGATGACTCCAAGGGATGCAGGCCTGTTTAATACGTGTCGTTTGCCAATGATGTACCGGGTGTTGCATCGTCGTTGGAAACATAGGAAACCCCATGCAAATTTAGAACTGTTTAAATATATTGGCTCCCCTAATGATTTTCTAACGAAGTCATAAATAGATTTTTTTAAGGTCTACGATTGGTAAATACACATGCCAAATTTGAACAATATTGGACAAGCCAATTTTGAGTAATTTGAGAAAAATTGCATCTATTTTTTAAATTAAAACTGAACGAGTAACAATCAAACACCAGTCAAAATGCGATTCATTTTGGTGGAGGTTCCGTCATGGTATGGGGAGGTATAACTTTAAATGGGCGTACGGACTTGCCTGTGTTTCCAGACGGTATAATTAATCCTGAACGATGCAGAGATGAGATTCTTGAACCATATGCACTGATAAAAAAGATAGACTTGAACTAAAGTCGTCATTGTTCTTGAAAAAAAAAATTGTGGCAAGAGAATTTATTTTAGCGTGAAAGAAAATATTTTGCCTGAAAAAAAAACTCTCTTAACTCAAGAAAACTTGTTCTCTTGATAAATTCCAAAATTTCTCTTGAATCTATTTTCATTTAACCAAGTGCAAGTTACTTTGTTTTAAGATAATAACAAAAATTCGCTAAGAAGTACTTCATTCAAGAAACATGGCCATTTTTCCAATAGCTAAATACTCTTTTGATGAAAAATAATAACGACAGGCAAAGACGATGACGAAGGACGGTATATGCAATCAGTCGGCAGTCCGATCAGTCGCACGTCGCATTTCATAGGCACATCATAGTACGCACGGGTTTTGTTACTTGAAATTTTTAAACGCATATCGTATAACAAATTAGTGATCGTTATTAACATGCATTTGTAATTTTTTATGGACAAATTTTAGGATATATGGATTCTTGAAATGGAGAAAAAATGGAAATTAGAGCATTTATTTGCTATATTTGAAGGTAAGAGACATTTACCTAATGCACCTGTTTAGATAATGCATGCGTGACTATAGATAGAATAAGAATATAGAATATAGGTATCGATTTTTTTCTGCAAATAATTACAAAAATTTTAGAATTTCAAAAAGCTTATAATTTTAATAATTTGTTTGCTTTACTTTGATAATCGTGATGTAACACTGTTTTTGTAATTTGTAGAGTGATGAACCACCCCAAAAAATACCAAGAAGTGAAGAAGCAGAAATAACTACTATCGAGGAAAATAATATCACTTTACTTACTACAGACCAGGAAAACCTAAATTTATCAGAAAATAATATACCTCGTAATATGCCTGTATATGATGTATAGACTTCTCTTAGATCAAAATAAATTTTAGTTGAGTCAATGGTATTCGCTATTGGTTCAAGAAAAGTGTCTCTTTAATCAAGAAATGTCCCTTTTCAATCAAAAATTTTTGCATGAATCAAAGAGACTATTGTTCTTGTAGCAAGAACTTCTTTGTATATTAATTTTGGGTCCAGAGTGAAATACTTTGGACAGATAGATTCTTCTATTCTCTAAAGTAATTTTTTAAAGCTTATGAAAAGATAGCTAAGGCCTTGGGCAAAGAAACGTCGTTCTTGGCCCTATTGAAAAGCGCCAATCTTTTGGGTCAAAGTCATATTCATTTCGACTGAGAGATCCTTTTTTTCAGTGTGTTATTCCATTTGCTGCTTAGCATGGTCCAGAATTCATCTTACAAATCAAATCAAATCAAATCAAATCAAATCAAAATAGTTTATTTACTTTTTTTTAAACATTAATATACACAATAAACAAAGAGAAAAAATTAAGTAAATGGGACTGTGTCGCGATTATAAAAAAAACCGATACACAAAAACAAAATCATTAACAACAGGATAGTACCAGTCCTCATACTGCAAGATTAGTTACTCGATATCTTGAGTCCAATATCACAATAATTATGAATTGGCCTGCTAACAGCCCTGATCTCAATCCTATTGAGCACATTTGGGACATACTAAAGGAAAGGCTATCAAGTCGTCCACAAGCACCAGGTCTTCAAACATTGGGAGAAAATCTTCGAGCGAAGTGGAACGCCTTTCCTCAAGAGATTATTCGAGCCTCATTCAGTCTATTGCAAATAATGCTTTAATTTAATTTTAATAATAATGCATTATTAGGAAAAAAATATTTCCGTTGACAATAATTAAGATGAAAGTTGTTTAGCATTGTTTTCGATAGCAGCAACATTCTCTGAAGCAAACTTAGGTTAAAAATACGATATTCGTCATTGTCAGTGTCACCAAATGATTTTTTGACATTTTTTTGTATTTACCTTATTTTTACGCACAGTGAAACCATATTATATTAAATACATTTAAAAGTCGGAATGGCACAGAACTTGGAAGATCTGTACAGGTGGATCGACGAGCATCAGATAACGAGACACAAGAAAAATTTAAACCGGGATTTTTCCGATGCTGTTCCCCTGGCTGAGATACTAAAGAAACATTACCCTAAAATAGTGGATATGCATAATTACGCACCCAAAAATTCCTTGGCTTTGAAGATAGCCAATTGGGAGATCCTAAACAGAAAGGTTTTTATATTAATTTAACTTTTTATACACTCAGATGCGAAAAAAACGCAACGGAATATTTTTGTGATATATATTTATTATTTTTAGCCCTATATTCATGAATTTTTTATCAATTTGAATTCGTAAACTCAGTTTAACGTAAAATTTAGTATTTTGGCTTATAAAGTCAGATGGCATCACCTGTGGAAAATCTTAAAGGAAGTGGGGGTACCGCAACACCTTATTTCACTTCCATCATCATCCAGTTGTATCAGTACACTATAGGATCAGTTAGAATACTGGATTCAGCTTCAAAGGAATTTTCCCTCGAACAAGGAGTCAGACAGGGGTGTATATTTTTTTTTCTCAACTATTTAACATATACGGAGAATACATAATGAGAAGGTCGCTAGAAACATGAGAAGGAGGCATTTCAATAAATGGCCAAAAAATAAATAATCTACGCTTTGCAGATGATACAGCACTACTCGCTAGCAGTCAAGAAGAGTTAATCAATTTAGTAAATAGGGTAGAAAACGAAAACAATCGGCTCGGTCTGGAAATAAATACGCAAAAAACCAAAATCATGATAGCTGATAGGCAACATAACAACCATCCAAGTATAAGTCATATCGACCGCTTTGAAGTCGTTAAGTCATACGTATACCTGGGATCACTATTGACAGATACAGGCACATCGGAAGAAGAGGTGAAGCGTAGGTGCAACATGGCAAAGGTAGCTGTTGGGAGACTGACCAAGATCTGGAAAGACCGCCAGATTTCAAGAGCCACCACAACCGGCTAGTCAACTGTTTGGTACTCCCAATATTGACGTATGGCTGCGAATCGTGGACTCTCAGGCAGGCGGAACGTAAGAGGATCGATGCTACCGAGATGTATTGTTATAGATGTATGCTCCGTATCCCATGGACTGAACGCCGTACAAACGTTTCCATTTTAAATGAACTTAATATTACTAACAGGCTTTCCTGTAAAATCCGACTAAAACAACTAAAATATTTTGGACATATAGTGAGGAAAAGTCCGGACAATATGGAAAGACTCAGAATTCAAGGCAAGGTGGAGGGACGTAGACCACGTGGCCGCTCTCCAACTCGATGGATAGACCAGATCACGACTAGCTGTAGCAAGCCAATGCACGATGTCATCGAGATGACCAAAGACAGAGGCCCATGGAGAAAAATCATCCATGATATTACGTTGACCACTACACTCCCTAATGGGGGTCAGGACTGAAGAGAGAGAAATCGAAGGGTTGCTATTTACCTTAACTTTAAAACACCACACTGTTAAATAATTTCTAGTAAATTTTCCCGAAAAATCATTTTTTCGGTCAGAACCGTGACTCCTGAGCATCATTTTGTTTTCTGTGTTTCTCCAAACCAAATCGTTATTTTTTGTTAAATTTAAAATAGAGTGTATGTTGTATCGTTCTAAACTTTTTAATAATTTCTATACAAAGTGTTATTATTTTAAGGTACTGAATAAAATAAAGATTAACTTATCCCAGAAAGATCAAGTGGAGTTGGCTAAATGTATACCGGGTGCGATAGAGAAGTTGTTATTGAGAATCAAAACAAAAGTTGAGAAAAAATCTGAAGAAAATAAAATTGAGCCTGTTAATGAAAGAGTTTACTTTTTGGAAGGCATATCGAATCAAGAAAGACACGAGGGTAATATATTTTAAAGATAAATTAAGGAGTAAATAATATTTATACCGGGTGTTTCAAATTCCACCCCACCCCATGTTTCACCCTTACCCACTGGGATCTTGGCAAATACGTTTTAATATACAGGGTGGTCCGAACCGTATTCCTGAAACTTCGGCAGCATATTCTGTAGATAAAAATAAGTAAAAAATTCGTATAAACGTATGTCCTAAAATGCTTCGTTTCGGAGATAGAGGGTGTAGAAGTTTCATTTTTATTTCGATTTTTCCTAATACACACACCGGAAAAATCTAGGGATATCATTTTATTAAAGTTAAAAATAAATGTTTTGAATAAACAATCACATATTTGTAGGCCGATTCTTTCTACTTCGATTGAAACGAAGTAGTCACACTAGTTATTTCTAAATTTAGGATATTTGCAGAAGTGTTTGTGCATTTTTTGTCAAATGTATAAAAAGCACCTAGCATCAATTGTTCGAATTTAACCTGTACTGGCTATGTTTTTATGATAACTGGCCAGAATTCATTCAAATAACTCTGTTTAGTATTAAACGACATTATGGAGCGTAGACATCTTAACAGAGACGAAATGCTAAGGGCCATGGGTATGTTCGAAGCTGGAATGCGCCAAATCGACGTAGCTAGAGCATTAAATACAACGCAAAGTGTAATATCGCGATTAAGTCCACGCTACCGTGAAAGTGGTGATGTTGCTGAAAGGCACACAGGGCGACATCGCATTACTACCCCTCAGCAAGATCATATTTTACAATTAAATGCTCGACGCCGATCGACTCTTGATGAATCTAATGTTTCGATAAAACAGTTGAATTTTTTACCGACTCTTACAGCACCAGAGCTTAGTTTAATTCTCCAGGAAACACATAATGTAACCGTTAGTCCTGACACTGTTCGCAATAGATTAAGAGAGGTCAACTTAAGAAGCAGACGCCCCTGGAGAGCTCAACCATTAACGAGAGGAAATAGAGAGGTAGGATATTTGTGGGCTTAAGATCATGCTCAGTGGTCGAATGAACAATGTGCCAATGTTCTCTTCACGGATGAGTGACGCTTTGGAATTCATCCGGATTCGAGAAGGCTTAGGGTATGGAGAGAACCGGGAAATCTTATTCGGTTGGATCATGTTCAGGAAGTGCACCCTTATCAAGGTGGAACAGGAGTCCAGTTAGGCCGAAAAAACGATCTCGTTTTTCTTGAAAGGTTTCTAACAGGAATCACATATCGTGATTTAATTCTTGAGCCTGTCGTGTTACCATATGCCAATGATTTTGGGAGAAACTACATTCTCATGCATGACAATGCACGGCCTCATACAGCCAGAGTGGTAAGTGAGTTTATCAATGCTCATCAATTAAACATCTTACCCTGGCCGGCACAATCTCCTGACTTCAACCCCATCGAGCACGTATGGAACGTGGTCCAAAGAAGAATTTTGAGAACGGGGATTGCCTCGTGAAACTCGTAGGGATCTGGTTCGGGCCGTGAATGCAGCGTGGTAGGCTGTACCTCAAGAAGAGATCGACAACCTGATCAGGAGCATGGAGAGGCGATGTAGGGCTGGAATGAACAGTAGAGGAGGCCATACCCTTTATTAAGTAAAAATGGTTTTATCTTTTTTTTTTAATTCACAGTTTAGAATAAAAGAAAATGTGTGTATTTTTTTGAGTTCAATAAAAATCAAGGTAAATTTGAAAAATTCGGTAAATTTCGCATTTTTATTTCCAATACGTCCTGTAAACTATTTGTTTATTTTAATTTTATTATATCAGAAATACAAATAATAAAATTACTGACGATGGCTGGATAAAATTGTAATATCCCTAGACTTTTCCGGTGTGTGTAGTTTCTGAACTAGATGAAAATTAGAATCTGGTTTTTTTTTGACATGAGAAATTTCCCTGCACTATACATACTGAGTGAAAAAATATACATTTGTGCCTTTTCGCGACATTTTTGTGCCTCGCGACATCTTATGATATCATAGGTTCAACTGAAGTTTTTAAAACCTTACTGTAAGTTTTCTAGAAATCGTCCCATTGCTGCCAAAAGTCACTAACTTACTTTTTATTACTTCCGAGAAAAATGTGTCTAAAGATGAATTGCATTGCATAAAGATCTTATAGTTAGTAACTATTAGGTATTAAAATAAAAAATAGCCAGAAATCGTAGTTAATGACATTTGCAATTGATTCTCCGATTCAAAACATAGTTAATGATTGAATTTGGTTGTTCGGAAAAATGTTAGTTAGTGACTTTTGGCGGCAATAGGACGAAATTTCGCGATTTCTGTAAAATCGTATTTAGGTAACAAGCAGTTTTTTAGAGAAAAAAAGTAATACTTTAGTAATATTTTTCAAAAATTACGAAATTTCGAGAAAATGAATTGTTAGGTTTTAAAACAGCTTCTATTGAACCTTTGGTATCACAACGCTTTGAAAATTATTAATTTACTCAAATATCTATCTAGTGAACATGCTTAATTTTTGTCATTGATGGCATTTATTGAATATTAAGAATCTAAATATCTTGAGAACGGATGCTCGAAACGATTTTTATCAAGGGACATTTTTTATGTAAAAACACTAAATATTAGATGTTTAGAAACTAAAAATAACTAACTAAGTTATTTTCTTCTAGAGGTGGTACCTATCAAAATAAGGGCCGGCTCGAAAACGCTAGACCAAAAAATGGTACCGGTCAATATATTCGATAGAATGGAGCAAGATATTGCCAGCAAGAACGAGAAAATAGCCATGCTTCAAGATAAAGTAAGCTATTAGATATTCAAAGCTTTCCATTTTGTGATAAACTGGTTTTTAGCTAGAACATTTGGAGAAAATGGTGGCCATCAAGGATGAAAGAATTAAGGATTTAAGTCAGCAATTGCAAGCGGTTGGTAGCGGAACTGGAGATACGTCTGCTACACCGAGAGCGAGATTTTTTAATAAAATATTTTAGTATACTGAGATCATATTTTAATAAATCATTTTACCAAACTTAATAACATATTTATTTGCCCAGTATGCTTATTTTATGTTATTTATTATTTATTCTAAAACTGGTAAATGTTTAGAGGTAGTAAATATAGAAGGAAATTAAATTAACAGTGATACTATTGCGATTACAGTTGAGGGTTGGAACCTTTGGTGTTACACAGCAAAATAAAACGCTAAATCACCACAATACACCAAAACACTTTTACTTTTACACTGGACGCGCGTTTCGCTAACCATGTAAGCATCATCAGCAGATGATTATAAATTCAACAGTTTATAGGTGGTTACATGGTTATTACATGGCTAGCGAAACACGCGTCCAGTGTCAAAGTAAAAGTGTTTTAGTGTATTTTGGTGATTTAGTGTTTTATTTTACTATTGCGATTTATCGAAAAAGACTGTTTATTGAAAAAGACTGTAAAATGTCAAAAATCGACGGAAATAATGGTAGTGGAGTGCTTTAAGCCCCTATGAGATACAAACCTCGGAATTCATTTACTGTGAACGAATTTTTATAAAACATTTTTGCATTGTATTGTTAATATACAATTGCTTTCACTTTACTATTTAAATAAACACACACATATACAAATGCATACATACAAGATGGCTCCGTTTTCCGGAAAAGCTCTGTATCAGGATTCCTATTTGAGATTTTCACTCCAAACCTTTTACAAAATATATGTTTAATAAATAATAATAATAAATAGTGTTTATTCAAACTGATCCAATTACAAAGTATATACAAGACTTATACATAACTTACGAATACAAAATAGTGAATAAACATAATATCCTCTTAAGGTAGAACCTTTTCTGAGGAGTTTTCTTTCTACAATAACTACAATATGTTATTCTAAATTCCTAAACTATATCTAAATGTATCAAATTAATTTATTTCATTTTCCAACACTTAAGTAATAGTAGTTCACATTTCAAAAATATTTTTATAGATATACAGGGTGAGTCAAATATATATCATTTATTTATTCGAGTTTAGTGAATTTGCTATAAAATTCTGGTTCCAAAAATACCTTAATACCATAGAGTATATTAAATGGTCTTTGAATTATGACCAAGTCCATGAGGACATCAATATAGACGTCCAGGAACCTTCGTATGAGAACTTCTAATCGAGACGATCGACTTCTTGTAAGTTTATCGCTAAGAAACCGCCGTTTGTCAGCTTTTCAAATTGATAATGAATTGCACTTAAGAACCGTACATATAAACTAACGGACTACAAGAAGAAGATTAAATGAAGCAAATATAATGTCAAGAAGGCTTGCTTCGGGACCAGAACTTACTAGATGTGTGGACTAGGCCTAAAAGCAAAGGCATGGTCTTAATGTAAAAATTACGAAAAAAACATTAGTGTCTTCTTCAAAAGCGAATATTTCCAACAAAAATAAAACTAATGAGATGAACAAAAAACAAACCATCGAGAAAGGATGTATCTAGATAATAAAATTATTTTCAAATTTCTTGCTCTTTTAACATATTCCACAGGGTGTTTCAAACGTTCACCAAAATATCAACATTTTGTTTTCCCTCGTATAATAATTAACAGGTGGGAAGTTTCATTTTTAATTTAGAAAAATATACTAAAATGTCAAATAATTTGGCTACACACTGCTTAAAAAATCATCAAAATCGGCCCATTAAAATAAAATATATTAACCTTTAAAATATATCAAAGTTTTAAAGTGCCCATTTTGAATGTATTTCAAAAACTATACATTTTAGTCATATACTTTTCTAATGAAACAAACCTTTGTTTTTTTACTAGAATCCAAAAATCAATTAATATATAGGGTGTTCCATTACAAAAAACATAACTTTGATGTGTAACTTTTTGGGGACACCCTATAGAACTCTACATAATTTTAGAAAATGCTTGAAATTGACTTACATAAGCTCACAAAATTTCACTTCGATACAAACTTTTGTTCTCCTTGCAAAAACCGCGTCGTAAATGACGCGCCACCCTGTATAATTCGATTTCAATCAAAATTTTAATGATTAGAATATAAGCAAAATAGGTATAGCTTATGCATTAGATTTATTTATTTCAATAAATTTACTTGGAAAAAGAATTAAAAAAATCAAAAAATTAGGAAGAAAATAATTAAGAATTCACTTAAATTACTAAAATAAAGAATTAAAAGCAATGAAAAAAAATGGGTAAACATTTTAGTTTTTTGTCTATAAAACACAATACAGAAGGTTTCATATTAATGCATTCACAGTAATTGAATTCCGAGGTAAAAGTATATGGGTACTCGACTATTATGAAGAAAAAAAAACAAAAAATAGTTTTATTACTGAATACAACAGAGTGTGATAGACAAGAAAACAAAGAAGCAATTTTTAATCTAAAAAACGATCTGCTACGGATATTAAAAAAAACGGTAGCTGATAAGAGCAGTGGCAGCGAGGCAAAACAAATATGAGATATATTAAAGCTCGAGCATTAGAATAAATAAATCCTTATCAGAAATCTAATAATACGGCTACCAATATTGAATAGAAGATTTGACACGTATCACATTAACCTAAGCTTTAAGTTCATATAATAACGCTACCGTTTTCCAACTTGCCAACGCACACACATAAATACACACACATCAGTCCCTTATCTAATCGAGTACCTAATCCTTTAAATATTTTCTTCATAGGAAGACTATAAAAATTGATTTCCTTGCTTTTTTATATACTCTAAACTAAATTCAACAAAAACTATACGAAATAAGATTATCTGTTAAGACTTTACCAAAAGTGTAGCTGTTAAAACAACGCAAGGAACTCCTCGAGGTGGAGTAACCTCCCCCCTACTGTGGAGCTTGGTAGTGGATGAACTACTGGACAAATTAACGCAGATGATTTAGTCATTATCTCTCGGGGGAAACATGAAGGCACCCTGTGTGATATAATTATCCAAATAGGGTTGCATATCACTGAGAAATGGACAAAAACTAAGACAACTAAACTAGAAAAACTAAGACTAATAGAGTAAGATCCCAGAGCAATCAAACAACATCAATTGAGACAATAATGAAAAACTTTCCTCCGAGGTTTGTATACTATTTTATTTACAACCACATCATTAATTAAAAAATAGGGACAGTATTTTATTTCGAAAAAAAAATAAATATGCGAAAATTTGTTGTTTTCTGTTTTGGCATTTCCATATCTATAGTTACCGCGGTACCAGTGGTTGTTATGGCGCAAACCTTCAACAGCAAAACAAACAACTAATTGACAGTTTTGAATTTCTCGTTCGCTTTTTTGAATTTATATATCATAGAAAGCCAGAATGTTGTCGGAAAGCTCTGATAATGAAGACTACTTTGTAACAGTCAAATTTTCTCGCAACGACCTCTGTGTGCAACCGTATAAATTATATTGTTAAATATTATTTTATTTAAATTTTACGATTATGCAACCCGATATACACCGCGACATGCAAGCTCCACAATATTGTCACTGGCCCAGCATTAGAATTTTTGTCGACCTCTTTTTATCTTCACTTGTCATTTGTCACTGTCAGATCAAATCAGATGTTTTTGGATTTATTTATCCTTTGTTTTGGTTATTGAAATTTTATAATTATCAGATAAAATTTCGTAGTTAAATTGTTTATTTTTGATGTGGATCGCAGTGTGCAATTCGTTCATTTAATTGTGGGAATTTGTGAGTTAAGTTCGTTCATTGACCGGATCCCTTGGTGAGCAGGCAGCCAGTGTAGGAGGACTTTGTTTTCTTTGCCTAATTTATTCAGCTTCTCTATGCATTCTTTGACCAATTTCGAGTTGGACTAGTCAAGATAAATAGTTCTTTATCTATATCCTGGAGGGAGATTTCCGGTTGAAATCTGATTTTGTGAAGGAAATCGAATCCTTGCATCACTTCTTGTGTACTCTCCGACCGAGAATATCGTCGTGAAGAACTGGCTGCCGTTTCGTGAATCATTCCCTGTTGGTGAATAGCAGGTCTTCGTAAAGAAGGATTAAGGCTTCCGAAACACATTTGGTCAGAGACGTGGTTGGATTTTGTTGAGTTTACATGGACCACCGTCCAATTTCCGTAAGGGATTAAATAGCCAAATTTTTCCGACCGATATCCCGATTCCACGTGCCCAAGAAGTCCCCGAATAGTTCCAAGGTATGCTATAATTCTTCTGCCTATTCTAAGTCAATGCTCAAATGATTTTTGTTCATATTGTTGTCTGGTTTTCGACTTTTCCACGCGCACGTGGTGTAGAAAGATTACTTGAGTGTTATCTTTCTTAAATCTTATTTGGTTGTTCGTAATTGTAGAGAAAGAAGACCGATCCAGACCGTAGCACAGAACAGTCCAGAATTCCATCCGTTCCTGTTGTCCGTGTAGAGGTACCCGTTGGACATCATAAACCCTCGTTGAGGTAAAGTTCAGATTTGATTAGTCCTTCTTTATTACCTTTATTAACTCCTACACGTTGTGCTAGTCCTTGTTCTATAATTGAGGCTCTTTTCTAAGACAACCAATATTATTTAGGGTTTTTATGTCACCTGTTGAAGTCCTACACCTGCCTGGTATCTGTACGTTTGCTGACGGGCTCCAGTGACAGTACACCGAGCTGCTGTAGCCTGCTGTAGCTACCCCATTGCTATACACCGAAGCTCAGCCGGAGGAACTTCCGAGTAGTTTTCAAGTTCTTGTCAACACATTACACTGTAGAGTAAGATCGTTTAGATATTAGTTAGATTTAGTTTGATATTCGTATTCCGCCCTTAGAGCATACTTAGTTTAAGTTAAGGGGGATGACGTCATAGATTTAGTTTTTATTGATTTAAATTCTGACTTAATATATTTCAATCATTTACATTTCATTTCATTTCTTTTCTTTATAACTTTTTAATATTTTAATAAATTGCTTAAATATTTTTAGTAGTATTATTTACAGTCTAGTCTCATAGTTAAGTTAGAGTCACTTAAGTTTAAATAATTATAGTAACATT